ATTTGTATTTATTACTGCGACTTATTGATGGGCCGGCAAGTACGTATTCATAAGGCCAATTCAGCCACATTTCAATTGCAAATTTCGACTGAGTCAATGGCCATGTCTTAATTAAAATTTAGCCAGAGCGTTTATTAGTTTGGTGCCATTAAATATACCTAAAAGGCAACGAGTTGTATAAATAAATTTGTGAAAAGTATTCGCATAAAGCCGAAGCGCCCCATTTTATGTTGTGGGTGGGCGATATGAGTGGTATGATTTTGGCTGAAAGATGGAATCAGGGGCATGGATTTAGTTGGAAGGGAGGAATTTTAGCCACACACACATACAACTTTGTTGCGGTTTAAGTGCCCTCGGTTCAGAGTTGGCCCATAAAATGTGTGACCCACTGTTTGCCTGGTCGTTTGCTTTGTTTTATGTGTATTCCGGATTCCATGGATTCGGCGTTTTTGGCTTTGCTGCTTATTGTCAAAGTTTCCGGTTGCAGCAAGTAGTGCGTAAAATTTCAATGCGATATCAAGAAGTTGTGCAATAAATTTCGAAAATTATTGGCACAATTGAAGTTGTGCCTTGAAAATATATTTATATATATATATGTTTGTGTCCCTGGCCGGAATCCGTAGGCTCAAGGCTCAATAAATTTAGTGTGTTTTTTCTCGGCTGGTGTAAGTTTCATTTTTTCATGATTTTTTTATGACTTCATAATGTTTTGTACTTTGGTAGAGAGGGTTATTTTATGTGGTGTTGTTTTATGGATTCATCAAGTGAATTTAAGAGTGAATTTCCAAATCAACCCTTTTAGTAAAAAGGCCTTGAATTGACATTTGATTCCAGAAATAGAAAACTGTATACGCTTAATTAATGCATATTACGAAATGTCCTCCTCTGTAACCAAGCTGCTTTGGCAAGTTCACATGGCAAACATTGAGATCCCCTTAGCATTTAGTCGTCGTCGCCGCCACGTTTGGCAACTGACAGCTGCAAGCCCCTTTTCTTGGCCAACTTGTGCTGCAAGAACTTTGGCAAACTCATTAACTCATTATCTGTGCAAGAAGTTGACACAACGCTCCGACAACTTTGCAGGCGACAGAGCAAACGGAGCATCGTCATCAGCCAAACGAGCGACCCAAACAGCAGCTTCCCCAGTCGCATTTAATTAGTTATCATTTGCATGACGGACAATGCGAGGCGACACAAGAACTTGCAACTGCAGTCGAGTTGGAATGGTTGCCATATCTACCTACACAACATATAGAGGCAGAATGTGCGATGTACCCGCATCTGGGATCACGTCCTCTGCCTCATTGAGCACCTTAATTGATGCTAATTGATTGTGCAGGGGCTGTTTGTCTTCTGTCGCTGATTGCTCAGATTTACGAGTGGCCAAAATTAAATAAAGCAAATTACGGCGCAACCAAAAATGTACCAAGTAAAATGTGCTGGCTGTGGGTGTCCTGCGCGTCCTTTGCGCTTTTATGTATCCGTATCCGTTTGCTATAGCCAGGGGCTGTTATCGCATTTGCAATCGCGGCTGGTCAACAGATTTTTATTTCATTTTCGCCGGCTTACAAAATAAATTGGACAACGCTCACATACAGGGCACTGCAAACAAGCCCACATTTTCGTGGGAAAAAAATAAAGGAAAATAAAATAAAGCACAGCTTTAACCTCCACCGAGTTCTCATTTCTATATTGCTGATTAATAGTTGATGTATCCTTAAATAAAATAGTTTTTTAATATCAAACAGTAAACGTTTTTTCCCCAAGTGCACAGAGATTCGTAAATTTTGGAGTTTTATTTAATTTTGGTTGATTTCGGTGTAAAACCCTTTGGCAAATCCAGCATATCCCACATGCGTGTGTGTTTGTGAATCCTTTTGTTGTGCAGCCATATTCAAATAACTGCGCCACACGCCTCGTGCGGCAAATTTATGTTGCCTCAATAACAATTTCCACAAAAAGCAGCAACAACCAAAGCTATGAAATGGCATGTTGAGTGTATTAAATTGCCATTTATTTGATTTTTGTTTTCGCCTTTTGCCCCGCCACTGTCCCACTTTTTATTGTTGCCGCCTTTGCATTTGTACTCCCCTGCCCACCCTTCTGTGCGCTTAGATTTCCCTTTGTTTTTGCAGTAGCATATTTTTTTGGGCAACATTTAAATAATGTTTATATTTGTACGCCATGGATTTGTATTGTTTTCTGATATCTGTCTAAGGTTTTAGAGTGTGTGCGTGTGGCAGGGATTCGGAATGAATCATGCTGTGATGGAGGATTTCAATGGAGAATGAGAAGGCAGGATTCTGAGAACCCAGAACACTGAAATAAATGTATTACCAGGGAAAGTGTGTATGTAAGAGATGGGTGCTTTAAAGGATTTTATTTTTAATTAGAATTTTTTTATGAATTCTTTCTTATAAGGGAAATGATCATGTGAATTAGTGTGATTTGCTGCTATTAAAATATTTTCCACTTTATTTTTTCCTCTGTCAAGCTTCGGCTCTTGATTGTTTGGTTGTTGATGCCCCGGATAGAGGACAGAAAGAGAAGTATAAAATCGGATATTACACAGAGGGGGTCTCAGTCTCATCTATCTTGTGGAGATTTTCGCGTACTGCTTTAACATTTTTCTTAGGCTTATATTTTAAGTCCGTAAGAAATATCATCACTTACGCATTCCAACTTAGTGCCTCCTAGAGATTTCATGATTTTTTAATGTTTACCTTTTTTGCAACAATATTTCTGTGTTCTACTCGAGGGTCAAGACTCTCGGCCGTGGCGGGCAAACCAGGCGAATTGACTTGACTTTTATGGCGGTCATAAAAGGGACTTTAATGTGTTTTATGCCCCTTGCCAGAAATGCGAAGGCGAACTTCTGCTGTCCTTCACATAAATCGACTTGAAACACACCCGGAAAGTCCAATGGAATTATGCGTGAGCGCACATCAAATGAGCAACAAACGAGGTTTTCTACTTTTCGAATTTGCGCCGGGATAGGAACAGGGACTGCCTGCCGGCATTGACTTCCTCGCATCCAAATCAAGATGTCAGGGAGGACTGGAGCGAGCAGGCAGTCAAATGAGCTGGCATAAATCCTCGCCGATGGCCAAATATTGATCGGACGACGTGCTTGGTGTGGCCATCCTGAGTCCTGGATCCTGGATCCAGGAAGTCAGCTGGCAGCGTTTGTTTGTCGCCCTGCCGCTGCTGACAATCTGTCAGGTGCCACTTAACATAAAGGTGGGGTTTAGACGAGCAGCAGAACCAGGAGCAGGCGAGAGTAGATGGTGTTTACCTTTGGCTTTTAGCATGCACGCAAATCCTCCGGAGCAATCAATTTGTTTTTATTGAATTTTCTCCCAGCTAGCCAGCACTTTGGTAACGCCAGTTCGTCGAAGGACATTCATTTTGAGTACGCATGACACATCTCACCAGGCATACAGAGAAATTTTTTATTTGTGCAAAAAAGTTATTGAAATAAAAATAATAATAAAAGTCATAATTATAATGAAACATTTGGTTTGCATAAATATAAATTCTTTTAATATTTGGCTTGCTTAAAAAAAGGTTTTCTTGTTAAAAAAGTTATTACAAATAAATGATGTAACATGAAATCTTTTTGCATGAATTGAGGAATAAATAATAACATGAAAAACACGTTAATTGGTTTTTATTTGATTTAAATCATTTATTTAATTATTTTTATAGGTTTTTTTTAAACAAAAATAAACAAAAAAGCTGCTTAAAAGCATACCTAAAATTACCAACAATGACATTCTTATGGAAAGATGTAAAATCACCTGGCACATTTTTGTTTTAAATATTTGCATTAATTTATTATTAATTTATTTAAAGAAAAATATACTCAAAAAGTAAATCGAAAGTCCAAGAATGTTCTATATAGATCTCTTTTTCAGTGCACATCCGCTCAAGAGTAACTAACGCCCGCCAGGTATCCAGCCGGGCTACCTGGCGTATGAGTGACGTATGGCTAAGCATTTGTTATGGCTTACCCATTGCACAAGAGCGTGTGTATGCTTGTGGGTGTGTATTGGAGGGTGTCCACGTGTGGGTGCTAGAGAGTGTCCGTTAGCTGACTCTCTGCGCCAACCGTGTAACGTTTTTTATTGCCCGCTTCCTGCTGGCCAGGGCAATCTCATGTGTCTGTCTGTGTGAACTGGCTGTCAAAATTTATGCTGCTCAAATTTCCAGCACAGAACTAACGTTAAGTATACGTCGCCGTTGGTGTTGGGTTCGAGTTCCCCCTTTGCTATCCCTTTCAATCAGGGTTCGAAAGAATATTAGTTTGAATTATTGGAAATAAAAAAGTATCCCACGTTTTATGTATTTTAATTTAGAGAAACCAAAAAGGTTTTCTTTTCTAATTCGAAGGGTCAATAGTTGTTCAGACCCAATTTATTAATGGGTATCCCCTTGTCCTTATCCTAAAATATAAAATTTTCTTGTTTCAGGTTCGCTCTTGGGTCGCCCATTGTTCGGGCGTGTTTGCTTTTTGTTGTTCCTCTTGTTTTTGGCCCATTTTTCAAATTGATGTCTATCGCTTTGTCTCTTTTTCAAAGTTTTTGGCATTTTACATGTGCTAACCAACAAAGCAGCGCCCCAGGGTTTGAGGGCGAAATTTTGGGGGAATTGTTCCTGTGAATTGGCGGGCTGTTTGGATGTGGATGCGGCTTGAGTGCTAGCTGTGCCGTTGATTGCTATCTGGTAGTGGCCACAGAAAGAGCAAAACCGAACAAGTGGCATGAACCAAAACCATATTGATAGTGGTCTGTTTGTCTTTGAGTGGTTATTTCTCTCTATTTTCACCTATTGAATGAGAGAATTGGGAAATGCGATCTGCCACACATTCCATTTTATAGCACGCAATGTATCCTTCAATTGTAGTGAAAATTATTTAACTGAAACTCGATTATTATTAATTACTTGACTGAAATTCAATTTGTTGATTCAATTTTGTTTGTCTGAATCAAATGTATAAGTTATGTCTGCCTGTGGATTTTGCTTCTAAATTGTAACAAAATATTGTTCTAAGGACGAGAAATTATTTGTTTACAAAAGATTATTTGCCGTTCCAATGCTGGAATATACCTAAACTTGTGGTGAAAAAATTTTAAATCAGCGTAAGTTTGGTATATAAGAAATGTTCTCTGCACTCACAAACATAAAGTACGCCCTAGTCATACCCACTTTTATTACACTCAACAACCCCCAACAGCGAAAATACAAAAAGGCGCGAAATTCTGTGCGTGGGTGTAAAATGTGTGTTGAAATATTGTCCTTAAGGGTCGCTTACAATTTGGTTTTTAGGCGCTGCCTCCTCAGCCAGCCGGCTCTGGCTTTTCCTCCCCTTACTTTTCTCCATTCTTGCAATTATTATAAAATGGCGCACACCATCAAGGACAATGGCGGCGGAGAGCCGAGGACTGCGGTGACGCTGCTCTCGCGCTCCTTGGAGACTCATTTTCAAGTGCTGGGCCGCTCAAGTGGGTCAGCCCAAGTGGATTAGAGGAGAACAGGATGTGGGGCCAGCAGTTCAAGGATTTTATTGTTGCGAGCATGTAATTGAATGCAATGAAATTACGCAGCCTCCGACTGGGGCGCACGGTTTTCATGCTAGATCCTATTTGTATGCAGGATTTAATTGCATTTATTGTCTGGCTGCTGCTTGAAGTTTAATTTTCTGACATTTTCCAAAGTCTCAGGGCAGAATTGGTTTCATTTTCAATAAGCAGGGACCACATTTAAATGTAGATTGCAACTTTTTAAGTAAGCCTTTAAACTAGTTTCAGAAAAGCTCTTGAAATCAAACCCTTAAATCCCCAAAAAATCCCTTACCATTTGCTTTGTCACCTTCGAAGGACTCACCTTTTTTGTCCATCGTATTAACAGTTTGGCGTTGCCCTCAAAACTAAGGCAACAAATTTGGCCAAACACGTGCCAAGTAAACAGAGCCATCTCTTGCTTATTTCATTTTCACTTTTACCCCTTCACTTTTTTTCCCATTTCTGCTCTTGTGTTTGTATTATCTTTCCATTTCCCCCGGCCAACACCCGCTCACAACTTAATTCACATGCCAGACTGTCCGACTGGCCAGAATCTGAGCCAAAGAGCCCCCACCAGAACTCAATCAACAGCGGGCTGACCCATATTTTATGGGAAATTTTGGCCAGGCCTCAAATAGAACTGAAGCACAGCAGCCTGCCCAGCAAAATAAACTGCTAAAGGGAGAAATATACATATATATCCACATAGATATATTCCTTAAACATCTATGTACTTGCCGTTGTATGTGGAAGGTTTGCTTGTAATTTAAGCTTATCACTCTGGTTCCAGACCATTGCGTATTAAAAACATTTTTGTTACGCCAATAAAAAGACGGAAAATTTTTTTTGCATAATTCGAGCTATAAAAAATGAGTCCAAAGGCAAGCTGTGCTTGTTGTTGTTCTTGCTGTTGACATTTCCGTTGGACAGGAAACTAGGCAATGGGGTTAGCATTCAGTTGGACAACTTTGTGCACTGACAAAAGTATTTTAGAAAAGTTTTTTCCTGCCTTGAAAATGTATATTTTTCAATAGAAAGCTAATATATTTGGTATCTTCATTAAGTTTAAGGCTAAGGACAATCCTAGATTTAGAAAGGAGATGACAAATCCTTAATTGAATTAGTTAATTTGGGCTTTAATGAAGGTAATCTTCATATTTTATAATTTGTTATATTGTTTGCAAGTGAGAAAATATATATAAAATATAAATATATTTGTAAATCTTAAATCTATTTTAGATTTTTAATTTTTTTTACTGTGCAAACATTTTGTTTATAATGCCCGCCTATTTATGCTGCCAGCTCGAGGAGCCCGAGGAGCGGCTTCATTTTTTTATTGCGCACATAAAATGACCCGGACCCGACACAGACAACATGAGGAGTTCCCTGGGCAAAATGGGGGAAACGGGGGAAACTGGGAAAGCCCTGTCCTGCTGCTGACGAACGCCTGATGCTGTGAATTTGCTCGGAGACGGCTCCTCTAGCCTCCGAGCGGCCATTTGTCAGATGAAAAAGCATCGCACAAACTATGTATATTGTTTGTCATTAACAAGGTCGCCAGCAGAAACAGCATCAGTGGCAGTGCAAAAAATGTGAATAAAAGGACGAAAGCTAAGTTCTTTGATGGACGAAAGCTGTTACACACACGGGAAGAAAATGGTTTTTAAATTATGAACTCTTTTAGAATAGATTTTTAATACAGAAGAAGCCAGCTCTATAAATTATTTTAAAAAGTATGCAGATGTTTACATCAATCCCTCAACTTTCTGTGTTTAAAACATTTAAGAAAAACTTTGTTCTATATAATTCTTAGTAAACATTAATAAGTACACAATTTTTCTCTCTGCAGAGTACCCCTGAAAGTGTTAAGCCGGGGATGCCTGCCCGTGCTGATCCCCGCTGCCGCCTGACATTAATTTTGTTTTCATAACGCGGTGCAGCAGTTACATCCAAAGGCCAGCCGGAGGGTCCCCGAATAACCCCTTGCCCCGCCGTTCCCTCGACCTCAGAATTTCTGGCTGCCAAATGAAGACACTTTGTTGCACTGCCGTCGCTTCCTCTGCTCGCCTCACTCTGTATTTTTACCATTTCGGGCTTTTTCTTTTGGGCCAAAGCGTGGGCTTGATTGACATGCTGTCTGTCCACTTGGCCGCTGCAGCGCTTTCTCGCCGCTTTTTGCTTTGGCTTTGCCCAGCTGGCCGTGACATAAAAACAAAAAAAAAAAAAACACATAAAAACAAACACCACACCAAGTGCAAAAACAAATTAGCACAGTTCTACCCGCCGCTGAGCTCTTGATGCCGGGCTGCTGGGATGCTGTGATGCATTTTTGACAATGAACATCAGATGTCAGTCAGTGTGTCTGTTGGTCACAATGAGACAATCAGTCAGCGAGTCAGGGTTTGGCAGAAGAAAAAAATAAGGAAAAATGGCAAGACACATTTAACACTTTTTGTGGGACTGTATAAGGCAGGGCCAGAAAGGAAATCTGAGTGGATTTATTAACTTAATTAATTCCATAAACTTTGCCATTGTACTCACTATGAACTGGGGTCATCAAAAATGAATGTTTTAAGTAGAAAATCGTTCAATTTATTTATACAATTACTGGTAAATTACATAGAATCAATATAGAATTCGAAATTAGCCCAGAAACCATTTCATACACACTTTCCGCATTACATTTAATTTATTTAAAGCCTGCGTTTTCACACTCCAACGCTCTCTAAAGCTTTCCTTTTGAAGCCAGAAAAAACTAAGAGAAACGGTATTTGTTTGTGGATCCGCTTGCTGCGTATTGTTTGGATATTTGCATAAAAATCACGCATACGACCCGTTGGTGTGGCACAAAAGCGGCTTTAAATTCGTTTCAAGGTTAGCAGGCGCCCAAAAAAAAAGATAACTGCAACTGAAAACTTTTGCCAGTAATTATGGAAATTCATGTGCTACAATGCCGGATTAAAAATTATTGCACACAGACCGAGTCTCGTTTTGTTCTGCCAATGTCATTGTCGTCATTGGATGATGCACCACAAAAGTTTCATTTCCCCTTCATGTGCATCCCCATTGTTATGCACTGCACAGCGATGGGCATTAATAGTTGCCACAGTTGGTTCCTTATTCCACTGATTTTTCCCTGTTTTTCTTTTTCAGTTTTCTTTTTTTTTTTTTGCCCCCATTGAGTTGATGATGACGACTGAATCGGAGTGTCCTAGGACCGGGTTTATTTTCAATTAATCAAGCCCTGCGAACCAGACTCATAATGGAGCCCATTTCAAGGTCCCCTCATCGCGATGTGAATGCCACTCGAATTCGGAAAGCGAAATGAATAAATGATTGAATGCCGGACTGTTTTCCACGAAAATAAGTAGTTAACTATTGACAGAGCGAGCGAGCGGAATATTAATTGCCAGACGCGTCGCTTCTGCCTCTGCCACCATATTTCTTTTTCCCTCTGCTTCGCTTCCTTCCGTTGTCAACGCCATTGTCTTGTAATAAACAAGTCCTGTCGGAGTGGAGACCGAGAAGGGTGGACGTGGACGGATCCTGGGCCATATTATTGGCAGGGCAACATAATAAACATAAATCAAGTGCGCCGCCATTGTACTCAGTTTCACTGGCTGATTTGATATTGGACTGCCTGGAATTCCAGTTCGGTAATCGCACAGGGCAAAAAATATTTACTTAAGATCTTTGGTACTAAACATCAGAATATGATATAGTTTTTAGGATTTATGAAAGAAAACCTAGTAAATTGTATATTATATTTTCGCTTATAATAGCAATAGCTACCAATTCTCATTAACACTAAAAACCTTTTTCCCAATTAAGAACCTTTCCAAATTTATTTTCCACAGTGCATGCAGTTTCTGAGCCATTTATCTTGGACTGTTTCATTGCCCAACCGAGCTGCCACACATGCATATCATACTCGTCATCGTTTTTATTATCGCCCAGAAAGTGAAACAAAAGGAGAACCTCCCCCACAACAACATACTATAAATAAGGCAAGCCAAGTAGGAAAAACAATTCCGGCTCTAATGAAAGTCATGGGTGCGGCCAGCGTGTGAGGTTTATGTCTTACAGCGTGTGGCACAGCAGATTTTACTGGCTAAGCTAATAGATATTTATCTGGGATTTGCTGGGTTAATTTATGTGCTGCGGTCGAGGGGAATTGATTTCTCCAAGCCAAAATGTATGTAAACCGAATTGTTGAGCCATTTTACGTAATTACTCTCACATCAAAAAGTTACCTAAGTGAGTTGGAATCCGTCTGTAAACATTCTAACATATGCGTACGACATCATTTGGTAACTTTTTACCCACTCTCCCCATTTGGGCAAAGACTTTCGCTTGTTTTTGACACAATTTTAATATTTTTTATGATATTAACTCGTCGTCGTCGTGTCACTTAAAACCTCAAGGAACATACCAAAGTTACCTCCCCCAGCCAACCGCCCTGCGAGGCATTTCAAAATTAAAATTCTCTAAGTAGAGCCCGGCGGGGAAATAACGAACGTCTTCATTCGCAAAAAAGAAGGCACACGAGCATGAGGCTGTTGTCTTTAGACAAGTGACACTTTGTCTCAAAATGGCACTCCGTTAAAACATTTATGAGAAGCAACTGGGGGATAGGGGTTTGCCGCAGGCGAAAAATGTTTTCTTGCGCGACTTTTTCAAGGATTGTCTGCAAATCATGGGTAAAGAGTTCATTGGAACTGGTGAACTGATGAATGGCACAGGTGAAAAAACATTTCCGGAACGTGGCACTCAGAGGATTAACTCCGAGGAAGGCTAAGGTCTATTTAAAAATATTTAAGAAGGTCTCAGGAACTTGATTTAAATTAAGAGGTTTCGATCTTAAACAATATATATTTCTGCATATTATAAGATTATTTTTAGCCAATTTATTTAGATGTATTTCACAGTGTACGTCATAGGAAGCCTTCGAGGCAGTTCATGCCATGCCTTGACTCAAATTGGAGCTGGCAGAAGGCAGGCATTGATATTTTATGGCCCTTTGGCGGATTCGACTGAAGCGCTTGACTTTCCCGGAGCTTAACGAGCGCCTTGAGCGATGATGCGTCCCTCGACAACTTGTCAGAAATTTAAAACTTATCAACGCTGGCGGCTCATGTGGAGCACTCTTGATATATGCAAATTTAATTCGCTGGTCGCATTTAAATCAATATTTTCCTGGCCTTGTGCGGTCTTGTTTCCTACTTTCCCTATGTAAATATCTGTATATATTTTTTTATTATAATTATAATTGAAAAAGCTGCGACCAAGTGGCCCAGATACATTTATCACATTTTTTTTTTTTTTATTTTGTGAAAGGCAAAAAGAATTGCTCATTTAATTGCAGCCGCAATACAATTTATATGCGTCTTGGTCCACAGAATATGAAAACAAAAAAGGTCAAAGGAAGGCTACAGGATCATAAATGGAATGCTACAATTTGCTTCACTGATTTAAATTGCTCCATTTTAATGGGGAATTTTTAATGGTAATTGAAAGTAAAACCATCAGCAGAACAATAATTTATGGAATGAAACATGTAGAAATTAATTTTGCAGGCGGAAGTGGTGTCTTAAGTGAATATGACTGAAATATTCAATGGCAGAAAACAGAAAACAAGCCTAGTTTTTAAAGATAAGTGTAAAATCTATCAAAAAAGCTGATCCCTTAGTTTTGTATTTTATAAATATATTTCCACTGATGCCCATTCATTTTCGTAAATCCCATCAATTCACAAACATTCATAAACCTTTGGTAAGCCATTTATTAAATTATATTCATTCCAAAAACTTTGAATATATAGAGGCACATATATAACCATTAAAAGAAACCACCCCAAAAAAAGGGCAAAATAAATGCTTAATTAATTTTCGATTTTATCAATCTGAAAAAAAGAAGAAAAAACGATTTCGGTTCCATTACAGCTGGTGTATGTCTGTCATAAACTTGGGATTTATTTGCGCCCATGTGCGCTTTTTGTTAGTCCGCCAATCGCAGGGCGAAATATATTCAGGGGTGGTAAAAACAATTAATTGGGGGCTGCAGCAGCATCAGCATTCATTTCCATTATGGATGTCAACAGCCAGTGAAAAAACTACAAAGATGATGGCCAAGGCGGGTTGTTAAAAATATGGGGGGATATGGCACACACCAAACGGTTAGCAGCAGCTCCCTTGTGCCACATAAACGAATTTAATTATTGTTCATGTGCTGAAATATGAGCAAATTTATTTATGGTTCTGCATGTGATGCCAGGTGCCCGGCAGGATCGCTCGTAGGTGGACTCTCCAGTTCCAAGCACAGCGGAGTCGCTCGTCCTTGTTGTCATTGTTGTTGTTGCATAAATAAATATCGTTGGTACACGGCAATTTCGCTACCATTTTTATTTTTAGTGCCTGCATTCGATGCACAGGAAGGCAGGAAGGCCAACTCTCGTTCACCTGTCCAACCTGCCATGCAAATGCCCCGCCCATATCCGTGAGTTATGGGCGTGGGTGGCGTATGATTAATATTCAATTACATGGCAGATCCCCTCGTCCGCCGCAAGAATAAAACTATGCATGCGACAGCAGCCCCTCGCAAGAGTATGCTTCACTTTGTTTGCCATCGCTGAAAAAACTTTGCTAATTGCCCTCATCATGGCAGAAAAAAGTCAAAACAAAACAATATAATGTATGCCCGGAAAGAACCAGAGTCGATTTCATCAAACTTTACATCCTACTGTGTTTTCTTTTCTCTTTTTTTCCTGATTTCCCCCCTCTTGTTGTTGTTAGAGACCGTGTGCCACCATTTGATTTAATTATGCTCGTGTTGAATAGGGGGATGACTTCCCTAGATTTTTATATATTCACGGAAAACAATGCCGGGAAAATACGTTCCTCTTAGCACGCAATGCGTTGGAAATGGGGCTCCGGGCGTAAAAGAATTTTAAATGAGCCTAATTATAAAATATTTTTCGGAAGCGTAGGCAAGGGAATTACGAGAGATGTTAAAAATAAAATAAATATCCAACAACTTCAAGATAACAAGAGAACAAATACAAAGGATTTTGTATAAATTTCACTTGAATTCAAGTAGGAGTTTTAGAATAAAAAAAAGCACTGTGGGAGATCTTGTAAAACGTTAATTTTCTTTCTTCAATTTTTTTGAATTTCTTGAAAGCGAGGCGAGTTTTAAAAATATTTCAAAAATTCCCTTTCTTTTCTTCTCCCCGATAATTTTCACAATTTCTAGCTGCAATCTTGATTCCCCTAACATTCCATCTAGTAAAATAAATGTCTAATGCAAAACTTTGGCCTTAAGTTCTACCAAAATTTGCTGTGAACTTATGCCAGCAAGAGCTGCTCAAGTTTGCTTTGTCCCTACTATTATTCAAATACCTTCAATTGCGGTCTTAGTATTCCGATTGCGTGTAGTTTTGGCATTCGCCAGCCGCAAATATATCAAACTCTTGCCTTTTGACAAGGCCAATGTCCATGATTTATGGCAGCCATTATTTTATGTTTAGCTGCACGGATTCGTGACATATTATTACTGCAATTGCCAGGCAACATTTCGGTCTTGGGAATAATTTCCCTTCTTATCGGCACAGTTTACCCAGCACTTTGCTGGAGTCTCAAAAGAAGTTTGTATTTGAAATGTTTCGTTTTATTATTCCCCAAAAAGGCGTTCAAGGTAAATAGTTACATTCCGTCTGCATGAAGTATTTAAAATGAAATTTGTTTGCCTGCGGCGGCTTTCCATTGTGTGTTTGGTTTTTGTTCGACATTAAAAATGAATTGCTGTTTCATAGAAGCGATATATTTTTACGCATTTGTTAAGTTTTTCATCCACACATTATAATTTTAATGACACATGCTATTGTTTGTTTGCATTACACATAACAAATGCAACGCAATATGCAGGAAATTAATTATAAATGTCGCTGGGAGTTGCCATTTAATAAACCTCATTCATATTTCAGTGGCAAGGCTAGGCCGTAGCCGAAAATAAAAATATTATTCCCATGGCGCAGAATATTTTAATAATGCTTGCGTTAAAATAACTACCTCTCAATGCATATTTATTGCCACTAAAGTTTGACTCGATCAACTGATGCTATTCACATCAGGCGGCGTGTGTGTGCCTAATGACCGACTGCAGCATCACGGAAACCCGTGTCGAGTAAGCGTTTATTAATTTATGCATTCCAATGATGATGCCCCGCCCTTCTGCTGTTGCCGGCGATGCCTCCGCCTGTGCCGAATTTTGCATATTAATTGCTCATTAATTGTTGATTAGCTTTCAAGTGCCACAACGTGGTCGCCCCGCTAAGCCCCCCGGTAATCCTCGGAGTTCAGGCTCAAGGATACGCAAAACTTATTCAGAGCTACTCAGTATTAGTGCGACAAAATGTGGTAATCAATCAAAAAGGGGAAGGTCTCTCCTGGTAGCGCCGAGAGTTCTTTCCTTGGCGGCGCAAATACTTGCAATTAAGCATTATTAATCACGGCGACTAAGCAACACCACCAGGGGTTATCCGATATGGCTTTGGCATTAGCCACATAGCAAAGCTATGCATGAAGTGAGCACTTCCGGCTCTGGCAAATAATTACATTGGTCATCGCCCCTGGTGGTGGTGGTGTTGGTGGGTCCTGTGCTAATGTGCGCGTATTATATTCTCATCAAAATTAATATTTAATTAAAAGTCAAGTGCGGGCGAACACGAGCCGAGAAAAGTTAATTTCCTCTATGGCAGCCCACACGAATTTTAGTCAGGATGATGTGT